GATTGGCTAATGGTTACACAAGCCACAAATGACATCTTAAAGTGGCCAAAATCTGATCAGCTCATTTTCAGACAGGTTTTTATATAAATGGATCAGGACAAAAAGAGAGCGAACCTTTTTTCCTGAAACGTTCTGACTCTCTTTACACAGAGGGGACACATGTTGACGTATACAAGACAGGAAAAATTGGATTTTGCACAATAGGTGACCTTTAATGGCCTGATGTGGTATTTTATGTGACAGTGTCTTGTCTCTGCACTCTGTCACACCTTTTCCTTCCAGCCACCAAATCTTCTCTGGCCGCCCTGAAGAGGAGACTTTACGTCCCGCCGCCCTCCTCCTACTCCTCTTACTCCTGCAGCCAGCCAGGTCCTCCTCCTCTCTTCAGAGCCAGCATCCAGCTCGCCATTCCAAACATCGTCCTCAGACCCAGCCTGGAAGACATCCAGGTACTATTGTTATTATCTATCACTACATAAACTCTACTGAAACAAACACTTCTGTGACTTTAATATCATTAGTTTTGTTTGTATTTGTTAATGATTTTATTTGAGATTATATACTAACTTGCCTCTACCTTTTTGATGTTGTTTGTGTTTCAGAGTACGGTGAACAGGCTGGTGAGTGTGGTGCTGTCTGTGACTAAAGACATCCCTCTGTGGACGTTCTCTCACCTGCAGTACAGACAGCAGCAGGTAAACTCCCCCTCCATCTGGTTTTGTTAAACAGCTGTCACCAGGCAGCCAATCACAGTGCAGCATTACTCTGTGCAGGTGGAGCAGGCGTCGGGAAGAGACGCAGGAGACGACGTCCCGGTGAAGCCCCCGGTGCTGAGGCCTCTGGACCGACAGCTGGCCGAACACAGAGACGTCAGCAAGTCAGTCCAGAGACATGTATCCACACAATAAAGTTATTATTAATATACTCATTTATTAATACATTATATAATGTATTTACTTGTTTATCTAACTTTCAAATAAGCTGCAAAGGTCTGCCTTAGTACTGAATCTATCTAACGCAGCAGGCTAAAATTAGCTAAACTTATGAGTATAATTATTATTTGTATTATTATTATTATTATTATGTTTTTGTTGCTGTTGCTCAAATCAATATTATTGTGATTATTTATTATTATTAACATTGTCAGTTATAATAACCCTAATACGAAAAGGAGAACACAATTATATTAATAAAGATAAATATAAACCTAAATTTTATTTTAAACAGTGTATTATTTTTATTAGCAGCACTATAGAATACAAAATAAAAATAAAAATTCTTCATTTTCCTATATACATTAGGTGCACATGTCTTCAACTAACACACTCACTTACAGTATATCAGTGGTCACACTGCATTGATATGGCTTCTTCATAATAATATCAGTAATGCAAGTTTGGTAAAGATTGGGTAGGTCAAATTTGAGACATTTAATCAACATTGATTGATTTGAGAAGAGAGTTTTAACAAATACAAAACCCACCCTTTTGACAGGAAACATTAGGTTTGCATTACCAGTACCTCAGTACAGTTCGTAATACTTAAAATATTAAAATACTACATTGTTTTATATTATGCAGCAATAGATGGTGAATACAAATCTTTAAGATTATTACTCTCAAGTTGAACCTAATACCTCTAGTTGTGTTCAGTTGACTTCTGCAGGACATGGTTATAATAAATAGCAATTAAGAAAACCACAGTGTTGCAGTATAATTCTCCTTAACACATTTCTCTTTATTAGAAAAGTATTATTAGAATTCAGTGAAATAAGTGTAATGTTAAGGTGTGTACAGTGGCAGCCAGTGACTGCCTCAGATATGTGCCTGTGTGTCTCCAGCTGCCCAGACCTGTATGCCGGAGTAAGGACGTGTGTGTGTGTGTGTGTGTGTGTGTGTGTGTGTGTGTGTGTGTGTGTGTGTGTGTGTGTGTGTGTGTGTGTGTGTGTGTGTAGGGTTCATGCAAGGACAGAAGGCCCATAGATGAAGGCTGATAGCTGGATGGAAAGGGGGTCCCGAAACTAAAAGGGTTAGGAGTAGCTGGAGGGCATTCAGCCCTCTTTAGAAAACACTGAAGTCAGTAGAAAATCAAGCCAACATAGGAAGAGAAAGTCTCGAGATAGTACAAGTTGTTAAAACATTGGCATTACAGTTTGAAGATTGAACAGCAGGGGCTAGGACTTTACATGTTTGTCCAGTCGTCCGGAGACTGTCCCGGGTTTTCATTCTTTTAAGAATAAAACTCCAAGGATAAAACTCTGATCATCTACAGTGCATTCTGTGAACCTGATGAGACGGAGAGTGCTAAGGAACGGTTGAAGATGAAACATTTTGTTGGAAAGGTCCTTGGTCAGATTCTAGCCCAAGCATGGACCTTTCATTTTTTACCCAACTACAGCTCAGTTAATCAAATGAATATTTATATATTTATTTGTATCTATATTGTTGTTGTTTTGTCGAGCAGGTTGGTTTTCCAGCTCAGCTCCATCGTGTCTTCTCTGAGACCCCAGACTGAGGACACTCTGAAGAAACTTTCTCACTTCTCTACACTGTGGAACCAGGTGTGTGTGTGTGTGTGTGTGTGTGTGTGTGTGTGTGTGTGTGTGTGTGTGTGTGTGTGTGTGTGTGTGTGTGTGTGTGTGTGTGTGTGTGTGTGTGTGTGTAGTGTAGTAGTTGTAGTAGTGTAGTGTAGTAGTCGTAACGTAGTACGACGTACGTACGTACGTACGTACGTACGTACGTACGTACGTACGTAGTACGTACGTACGTACGTACGTACGTACGTACGTACGTACGTACGTACGTACGTACGTACGTACGTACGTACGTACGTACGTACGTACGTACGTACGTACGTACGTACGTACGTACGTACGTACGTACGTACGTACGTACGTACGTACGTACGTACGTACGTACGTACTACTACGTACGTACGTACGTACGTACGTACGTACG